CCTATAGGGCTGCTGTGAATCAGAATCCACCCCGTGTGTGTACGTGTGATTGTGGTGCAAATATACACAGCAAAACATCCGCCAGTCAGTGGTTCCTCCAGGTACTCCTCGGTACGTTGATGATATCGTTCAAGTTATACTTTTCCAGAGCATTCCCCGGCCATTAAGATAGACTCCCTGCCCACTAAGCTTCCCAGCCACCCTTTGGCGTCCGTTGTCAGCCTCACCCAATGTAGGCAGTTCTTTCAAACAGCGCAGTGCTCAAGGCAGACCCTCTCGGCTAATTAAGGTAAACGACTTTTTTTAATTGTTGGAATTTAAAGTACCGTATGTACTCGAGTATAAGCTGACCCCAACATCAGCCGAGGCACCTAATTGTACCACAAAAACCGCATTAGAAATGTGCTGAAAAACTCGGGTTATACATGAGTATATACGGTAACTTTAGGAGGCTGTTTAGGCTGCAGGGTCAAAGTTCAAAGGTTTCCCCCTGGCAGTAGTGTGGTGGGTTTATCTGAATTTCATGAAGTTGGTGGTAACCTTCAGGGAGCCAGTTCACCCGCCCTTTTTCTGCTGTACCCCCAGGTGGGTTCTAACCAGCCACCTCTGGGTTAGCCGTTGGAGCGCAAAACAGAACCCACCGTGGTGTAGCAGGTGACGCATTGAGCTGCCACCCCAAGGTCAGCAGTTAGAAACCACCAGCTGCTCCTCAGGAGGAAGACGAGGCTGTCTACTCCCGGAGAGGTTGACGGGCTCGGAAACCCCACAGGGACATTCTTCTGTGTCCTGCAGGGCCACTCTGAGTCAGACTGGCCTCCATGGCAGCCAGGGACCTTAACACCGGAGAGACCAGCCCACTTGTCCTTTGACCTCAAATGGCCAAACCCCTTCCTTTGTGGGGGGCACCGGGGGCCGGCTTTTCTGCCCAGGTGCAACTGGGGTACAGCGTTGTGATGTTCCGCTTCGCAGAGCCCCGGGGCGATTAGGGGTCTGCCTGTGGGGGTGTCCGGCCCTTGCACGTGTTCACTCTGGTCTCTCTGCTGCCCGCCCCCTGTGGTCAGGTACCTCTGTGACTTCACCTACTACACGTCTCTGTACCAGAGCCACGGCCGGTCCGCCTTCGTCCACGTGCCCCCGCTGGGCAAGCCGTACAACGCGGACCAGCTGGGCCGAGCGCTGCGGGCCATCATCGAGGAGATGCTGGACGTCCTGGAGCAGTCGGAAGGCAACATCAAGTGCCGCCACAAACACTGAGGGCCTCTGGGGCTTCCCAAGACCTTGCGGGACCCTCCACCCCTGCCTGGGAGCCCAGCAGCCCAGGGCCTGACTCAGAAGCCGAAGCCGTCGGCCGGGGGGCCACAGGTTCATGCCCCTCCCTCTCCTCTGTTCTCCGAGAACGTTCCCGTTGAAGGGAAGGAAGAGGCAGCTGAGATTCCTTTTTCTTTCCTTTGTCTGTTTTCGTTTGCTTTTTGTAGTGGCCGAGGGAGGGCCAGGCAGTTCCACCGGGGATCCTAAAAAGTGAATCGCTCCTTGGCAGCCTTGAGGTGGGTGGGGGGAGAGCCACCATAGGCAAAAAGATTCCAGAACTTTCCATCTGCACTTGGTTTTCCTGCAACGGAAAAAGCCTCAAGAGGAACGTTCTTCGTGATCTATGTCCCAACATCCGGGACAGCGCCGCACGGGCCACCCTGGGACCCGATGGGATATTTGGGTTTGTTCTCCCCTCTCTCGTTATTCTTTTTTTGAAAAACAACAGTGCTAGCTAGGGGCACTCCGTAATTTATATTCCCTTTGGGTCAAACTCAGATGGCGGCCAGCAACCAAAGTGTCTTCCCTCAGTCCTGGGGTGCTCCTCCCCGCCTCAAAGCTGGGACTTAGGACTCCACCTTGTCTTTGGGGCCCCCCATGGGGTCTCCTGGTTTGTGGGGCAGGGCAGCTGCCCTAAGTGAGACCCCAGAAGCAGGTCCGGACAGCGGACCCCAAGGACACTGGGGCTGCCCCCAGGGAGCTGCCAGTCAGCAAGCAGACCTGGTCGTTCTGACGTGCACACGTGTGACTCTTTTGTCTGTTTAATACGTAAAAGATTCACAGCAGCTGCGCCACTGCCCCGAGCTGGTCGGATTTTCCCAAGTTCCCTTGCTGCGGATGCGGTTCTCATGGGCCCTCAAGAGGGCTGGAGCCACCACCCAGAAGGGGTCTCCAACAAGGCGGGGCTGGGGCAGGCTCTTGGGTCCTGGTTTGAGAGACTTGTCCAGACCTCAGGAGTAAACTCATCTCCCTGGTGACTTTGAACTTCTCAGCTAGGGTCAAGGGTGATGGCCGCCAGCAGGTGGCTTTGGCCCCTTTAGCAGGGGGAGGGGAAGCCGCGGTGCGGCAGTGGCGGCAGGGGCGTCCGCATTCAGCCCATTGCGTCAGGCTCCTGTCAGCGAGCCTTCGCCCGTGTTTTCCAAGGAGATGGGCTCCGCTGTTCTCATCCCACCTGCAACTCGGACTCAGTCTCCCTTCATCACTTTGGGTACAGCACCCTGTGATTGGTAAGACAGCGGACCCCCCAACCCCAACCCCTCCCAGGGTTGGAGCCAGCCCAGCCTCAGCTGAGCCTGTGGAAGTCGGCGCTGATGGGATTTTGTTGTAAGTGCTTCTGGCTCCCTGGGCTTCCTCTGGCCGAGGAGGTGGGTGCCGGCCGGTGGGTGTTGTAGCAGCATTTGTGGATTGAGGGCAGCAAGTGGACGGGATGCAGGCTCTGCCCCACCACACTCCCCCTGTGTCCCACGTCCCCCGGGAAACAGAGTGTGGGACATCGCCACACCAGCTGGGCTATCTCCTGTGAGCGGAAGTTGTGGCTGTTTGAATGTGGGGTGTTTGAGGCCTGGGGGGTCTCCCCCAGGGGTCCGTTGGCATGTTTCAAGGTCCCACAGTAGTCGGACCTGAGGAAGCTCTGAAGGGGGGTGGGGGAGGACGAGGCGCAAAGGGAGGACTGGGGGTGACCCAGATCCAGGCTGAGCAGGAAGACCCCCAAACCTGCCGCCCCCAGACACCCCCCCCCAATGTTTGTGTTTGTGCTCATTTCACCTGCCAGTCTGCTCGGAGCCCCCGGGAGCTGGACCTCGCTGTCGGATTGGAGAGAGAGGGGGGTGGTGGTGTGTGTGTGTGTGTGTGTGTGTTCTCATCTTCCCATCAGGGCCAGCTCAGCTGCATCCAGCGCCCATTAAACATTGCACTTGTTCACTGCCAGCCTTTCCATGTCTGTGTTCCGCCCTCCTTCATTTTCTCATTGGAGTCTTCTTCTTTTGATCAACCCCATCGCTCACCTGGCGCGGTCTGTCTGCCTGCATCTGCTCAGGTTTTTCAATGCCCTTGGCCAGGATGGGCAGACAACAGCACACTCTTCCTCCCTCTGGTTTTCCAAGCCTCGTCTGGGGCGGGAGCTGAACCCCGAGTGGGGGTGGCAGGGGCAGAAAGGTGGGTTCGTGCAGTAGGTGGAGCATGGGGGGTTGTTGCTAGAAGAAGTGGATGTGCTGGTGGTGGAAGGGGAGTGGAAGGGTGTTGGGGGATGGTCAGTGAGGTGGGATGTCTTGTTCGGGATTGAATGTTTGGGGAGGCCCATAGGGTGCCCAGAAGTGGGCTTAGGTATGTAGGAGCCATGATTGTGGCTTTTGATGCCCAGACAGCCAGGTGATAGTGCCCCCTTTATCATCCAGGAGCCACCCCCTTCCCATACCTTTATTCTCATCCCCTCAGCCCTCCACCCTCCAAATGATGGGTAGTGAGTATGTTGCATGAAAAAGGAGTTAAGACAGGAGGGAAAAAGGAAGAAAGAGAGACGGGAAGAAGCAGGCCTTCAAGGTGGGCAGGCGTGATGACCAGTTGGATTGCTAACTGCAAGGTCAGCAGTTCGAAACCACCAGCTGTTTCGTGGGAGAAAGAGGAGGCTTTCTACTCCGGTAATGAGTTACGGTCTTGGGAACCCACAGGGGCGGGCAGCTCTACCCTGGCCTAGGGTCGCTATCAGTAGGCATTAACTCGATGGCAGTGAGTGTGGTTGTGTGGTTGGTTGGTTCCAGACCTGGCATCCTCAGGCCCATTTGAGGGGCAGAGGAGCCCAGGCTCTAGAGGCCAGTGGGGCAGTGGCAGGGGACGGGAAGGCGGGGACGACTTCACGGTTTCCTGGTCAGCACTGGATCTCCAGGGAAAGGCCCCGCTGCAGTAGCTTCGACAGGGAGGGAATCTCCTCCTCTCCTCTCTGCCCGCCCTCTTTGGAAGTTTCCACAACAGGAAGGACCCACTCTACTTTACAGGCTCTGATGCCCTTTTGTTCGGGGTTTCTGCTGGGAAGCCGGACTCGGCTGGTGTGTGTACATGTGCTTTCTAAGTTCCTGGGGGCTGGGGGCAGGAGGAGGCCTGGCTACTGCAGCTTCAAAACCCCCCACCCTTCCACTCCCTGCTGCCCCTGTCCCCAGCTTCTTTTTGGCTGCCACTGTCTAGACTGGTGACCTTTGACCTCCCCGCCCCCTAGGAGTGTCTGAACTCAGAAGCCCCTCTGCGAGATTCTTCCCTGTGGCTCCCACTCTAGCCGTGGCCCCCACAGCCTGCGTGGGCGCGGGCTCTCACAGGAGGCCAGCCGTGTCCCATGGGGAAGGGGCTTTGTCCCTCCTGCACGTGCACAAGTGGCTCTGAAGGCCCTGGGCTGCTGGCCGGGAGACCCTTGGGCAGGGTGGGCCCTTGTGTACGTGTATGTGTGGGTGTCTGTTGGGGTTTGCTGATGTCCACACCTGGAGAGTTCACTCCTTGATGAACGCCAAGTGCCCCGGCCTGGAAGCCCCTGTCCCTGTGTCTGGGACACTTGTCACAAGCTGAAGGGCAGGGGCCAGGGGGCCTTGGGCTCAAGCTGGCCTCCCCCTCTAGCTCGTCTGCCCCTTGTCACCCACAGAAGTGCCTGCCCCTTACAGATGACGTGGGACCGGGAAGGAAGGGGCCGGCTTTCATGTCCTCCACGCTGCCTCAGGACCCCCCACCAAGAGCTAGCTCTGGGTTGGCCCCTCTGCTCCCTGGGGGCCTGCGGGGTCTCCAGCCAGGTTGGCCACCACAGGGGGCCACCCAGGGGCTGTGGGAAGCCGGGTTTGCCTTACATCTGCCCAAGGGGTGCCCAGTGTGTTTCAGGGGCTCCCCCAACATCTCAGGTGTTTATCTTGTCCCACATTTCTCTCTAGGGGGAAAAAAACCCTTCCTGCTGTGACTATTCTGTCCCCCAAAGGGGGGTCTGGCCCTTCGGCTGGGGTGTAGCATCCCCCACACCTTACAGAGGACCCACGAGTGCCTTGTCCGAAAGCCTGTTGTCTGGAACCCTGAGGGGGCAGGGGAGGGGCTGCCAGACTTTCCTTGGACCCCACACTTGACACCCCAGAGAGAAAATAAAGCAGTGGAAATGTTTGACTTCGTGTGTGTCCTTGGGTGAGGTTGGGGAGATGCGGGGTGGGGGGCTCCCTCACCTGGAGCGGGCATCGGCTGGTATAGTAGGTTCCATGCCACTCCTGTTGGTAGATTGGCTCCCGACTCCTGGCTCTCCCAGCATCATCTACCTCCACGAGCTGACGGGATTCGGGGGTGAACACTGTGACCCATCGGGGTATCCCTGGTTGGTGCCTTTCTTCCTAGCCCTTCGTCTGGGAGCTCTGCTGAGCCCTGTGCAGGATCACAGCAGCTCAAAGCCTCCACGGACAGTGGTGGCCGGGGAGCTTCCCAGGAGGTGCACTTGCCAGGAATCACGCTCCGGTCTCCCAAAGGGAAAGCAGGAATCCTACCTCTCTTATCGCTTACACCAAGCTCCGTTGAGACCGAATGGATGAGGAATTGATAAAGAAAGCCTGCCTCTTCAGAACAGAGAAGGGTAGTAGCTTGCCCCAGGTCACACAGCAAGGTGGGTGCTCTGTGAATTAAACCATAAGCCTCAGCTCCCACAGCCCTGAGAAGTGGCCCGGACTTCACCACCTTTAACAAATAAACGGCTGGGAGAAGACATTGATCCCAGTGAGGGAGGGGCGGGATCAGGATTGGAGCCCCCGGGAGTTTCCTCAAGTGCAGGAGGTGTTGAGGGATGAAGGCACATTAGGACAGGGGCCTTGAACACAGAATGCACCTGTGAAACCTCAGGCTGGGCTGGGGGTGGGGGTAGGGGTGTCAGATGGAACCTGGGCCCTGGCTCCCTTGGCTGAGTTACTGGTGCTGGGGGCGTGGATCCAAGGTCTCGTTCCTGGTGGGGGGCAGTCCCAGGGGAGGGGTTTCAGGGTGGGGGCCACTTTTCTGTTTCTAGCCAGTCTTTTTCAGATGAGGACTCCCTTC